ACGTCCTCCCGGAACGCGCTCTCCCTGCGCCCCCCAGGGGGCGCGCACCCGGCGATCTCCGTGATAGCTGTGTCCTACGGACACAGCTGATCACGTGATGTGGTGAAAGGCCGATCCCACCGGCCTTTTACCACGTGATCAGCGGTGTCCAATGGCACGCTGATCACAGGGAAATGCAAGTGCCGGTTCTCGGCTGCACTTTCCTCACGCTGTCAGATCGTGAGGAAAGTACTGCCGAGAACTGGCAGTTGTCAGAGCGGGGATCGGCACCGATCATCAGGGCACTGATGATCAGTGCCCTGATGATCGGTGCCCAGCAGTGACACCCGCAAGTTCCGCCCAGCAGTGCGCCCCACTAGCCCCGCCCACCCGTTCCCAGCAGTGCCCCCACCTGTGCCCAGCAGTGCCCCCACCTGTGCCCAGCAGTGCCCCCACCTGTGCCACTCTGCAGTGCCACCTACCTGTGCCCAGCAGTGCCACCTACATGTGCCCACCCACCCACCTGTGCCCACCAGTGCCACCCACCCACCACCAGTGCCACCCACCTGTGCCCACCCACCAGTGCTGCCCACCAGTGCCACCCACCAGTGCAGCCCAGCAGTGCTGCCAGTCAGTGCCACCAGTCAGTGCCCAGGGGTTGTGCCAGTCAGTGCCCAGAAGTGATGCCAGTCAGTGCCGTCTATCAGTACCCATCATCAGTGTCACCTATCAGTGCCGCCTATCCGTGACCCCTAATTAGTGCTGAAAAATTTTATAAAAGAAACCAACTTTTTTTTTTTTTTTCAAATTTTTTGCACTTTTTTTAATTTATAGCGCAAAAAGTAAAGCGCCCAGTGGCGATTAAATACCACCAAAAGAAAGCTCTATTTGTGAGAAAAAAATGATCAAAATTTCATATGGGTACAATGTTGCATGACCGCGCAATTGTCAATCAAAGTGCTGGGCAGCGCTGAAAGCTCAAAAATTGGCCTGGTAAGGAAGGGGGTATAAGTGCCTGGTAGGCAAGTGGTTGACTATTTCGCTTTTCTTCAGTAAACAGAACTGAAGCTTGAAATGGTTGTTCATCTCTGACATGAATGATGAACATCGCATATCCATAGTAGTGGTGCACTGAAATGAAAATTCTAGAGCAAAACTGAAAATGCAGGATTGGCCGAAAAACCGAAATGGACAGTTTTTTTTTTCCTATAAATGTACCATAGTCGACTTTTTAATTTAATTGCATAAATTTAAATGAATATGACTTTTCAGCACCTTTTCGGCCAATAGGCTGTTTTTAAACCGCAGTTTTTGAAGCAAAAAAAAGAGAGGGGGGGACAGGAAAAGCTCAAGGAAAATGTATCCCTTTAAATTCAACGTATGTCTTTACACTGGTCTTTTGTGCTTCCCTTTGCGTGTTAAAAATCCTGCTTGCTACATTTTTGGTTCATATCTGGCGAGTTACGGAAAAAAAAAAAAAAAAAATCCACACCAAAAAACTCACCTCCCCATTGAGGCCTGGTTCACACCAGTGCATTTTTTAGTGCTTTTTGCAGAAACACACCACAGTCCATTTAAACATGGTTTCCTATAGGATACGTCCACATCTATGCTTTTTTTTTGAGCCGCTGCAGTTTTTGAAAGGATCCGGGACTTTTTAAACACAAAACGGTGCGTAGACTTTAATGGAGTTGCTGCAGAAAACGTATGTAGTTGCAAAAACAGAGCAGTGCAAAGCTGACAAAACACAAACTGCATTGGTGTGAACTAGGCCTGAAATACATTGAAAACGCAGCAAAAATGCACACATTTTGCTCTTTTTTGAGTCACATGACCTATGAAAAATGCACTCCTAAACGTGGCAAAATCGTGACCAATTCCGAGGGTAAAATTGCGCGTTTTCGGCTGCCATTAACTGCACCTTTTTTTTCCTATCAGTAAAATACCGATAACAGTGTTTATCCCTACTCTATAGTGTGTACTTGTCTCAATCCAGAGCACCAAGTCTCATATCTTCTGTTGTTGCTTCATTCCTCTGCTATCAGCATGAGTCATTTCTGACTCCCTTAACACTAAGAAGTAGAAACGGTGCAAGGGAGGGGGCTCTAGCTCACAACCCGTGATTGACCGCCTCCACTGTGGTCCTGTGTGAAAGGGAGTGTGTCCCTTCCCATCAGTCAGCTCTCACTGAGCTCTGTAGAGTGTAACCTCAGCTCCGTGCCCCCTGCTTCCCTGCTTTCTGAAAGCTCAGACCAGCTATATAAATTCTGTACTTTGAAACTATGTAGAGGCGAGAGGACTTCAGATAAAAATACAACTTATGTAGGAGGATTTCTTAAATCATTGTGTATCACCTGAGGCTAGTCACTTTACTGGGTATATGTGCTGGTTTACAACCACTTTTTTTTTTTCTAAAGTCTGTACAGTTGTACCTTTTTTGCCTTAGTTTCCTTATTGAACAAAAATGACTTTCCTCCGTTCTGTTTGTTTTTGTAATTCACACAGTTTGTCTTTTTTATAGCTTAGAGAATTCAGCACACAAAGCAGAAGCAGCAAGTAATAAGTTTGTATTTGGACAAAACATGATTGAGAGAGTTCTGGTGAGTATCATCTCTGTGATACATATGCATACTCCACAGCATTGCAGTGTGCTGGTTTTAATGCTAGTTGTTGCAGGCTTTCCTTTTTGCTAAAACCTAACCACGTGCCCCACTTCTTTTCTGCAGGGCCGTGGGGGTCCCCTGCATGGAGAATATGCTGATCGTGTTGTCTTCACTGCATTACATTCTAAGCTTTCTTTGGCATAGCCTTGGAAACTTATTGTTCAGTGGATTTCTAAAACCGTCTTGCATTAGTGCATCTCAGCCCATGCTAGAAAGCACTGGCTTTTCATAGGTGGGCTGTGTGCAGTAAAACCAGATAAGCTGTTTCTACATTGGTAACCTTGTGTTCCTTATCACTGCTGTTAAAGTAGATTGGCAGGGCTTCTCTGCAGGGCTACCCATGCCAATGGTCAGTGTGAGGAGTGGAAACACGTGTGTTTAAGTTTTTTTTTTTTTTTTACCACTCTATGCTTCAAAGTGAAAGACCTCTTTAAAGCACTATTAAACCCAAAACCTTTTTTTTATATTGCAGCTTATTAATTCTTAGATGTGATGGGTGCATTAGTTTTTCTTTTTTAAGCATTCTTTCTTCTTTTAATCTGGTAATTTGGCCAGCAAGTCTGTTTGTTTTTTCATATACTCAAGCTCTGCAGAGCTTATCAGTTTACATGGATGAGACAAACCACTCAACATGGTAGAGGTGATTAAAAAGATCAGCTTTTATTTATTCATGCAAAGCCTTTATCCCAAATGGAATTAAATGGTTTTCTGTAACTAAGTGTGAGCTGGCGTGTGACCTACCTCCACCAGATTGACAATGTTGCTGTCTGCTGTGCCTCTTGTGCTCATTTCTCCAGAGATGTATCTCACTAATATAGGAGGTGTGTGTCCAAACCACAGGTGAAAATGGGGAGAAAAGCTAAAGAAAAGCAAACTAATGCAGCCACCACATCTAAGCTGCAATATAATACATTTTTTTGTTTGGGTTAAATACCGCTTTTAAATCATAAATTCACACTGAATTTAATTTTTTTTTTTTCCCCCTTCAAGTGGGAATTCAAGTCTAAATGTAATCGTTCTCCTGTAGCAGAGATGTTTCTTAAAACTTTTTGGGACCCCCTAGCAGCTCTTGCATAATGTGCAAGTATGCTCGACATTTGTCTATTATTACATGCTAATCATATCATGGCTCCATGTACAATTTGTAAGTAAAATATATATGCTAGCAGGCATTGAAGAGGCATTTATGACAGAATAGACGTAGAGTCTTATGTTATGAAAAGCCATCCTCCTCATTTTATTTTTTTTTTTTTCTCCTCATTTTGCATTAAAATCTTGTCATCCGCTTGGTCTTCACTTCATTGCATGCTAATTTTAAAAACCTATACAGTGGGTTTCTAAAACCATCCTGCACTAATGCATCTCAGCCCGCACTTGAAACCACTGGCTTTTCATAGGTGGGCTGTGTTGCAGTAAAATAAGATGAGCTGTTTGTGCATTTGTAGGCTCACATTTCCTCTAAAGAAGTATTTTTTCTTTTTAAACCATTGAAGTCTGACTCTTCTCTGAGTATTGCTATGTACTACCTAGCAGTTCTCAGATCGGTTTCCCTGGTTGTGTACCTCAGGACCGTACTCAGACCCCACTGTGTGGGGTACACCTGTGATATTTGCTTTGGGCACTGGATCCTGTGTTGGATGCTCACCTTGGCATGGAGTACAACATATAAAGTTAGCTGGAGGGTGTTATACAGATTCAGGGCCATGCTCTATATTTCTGTGGTACCCAGACCTTAAAGACCCCTTTCCTGAATATAAAAAAAAAAAAATCCATTCTGCACTCCTGGACCATGGATCCTGGCAAATCATAGAGGATCTAATAGCATGTAGTCCGCAAACAGCCCATAGGAAGCACAGAACACTGCTCAGGGTGATAGCAGTTCCCTTGTCCCAGAGCAATATCCTATTCTGAATCCGCTCTCCTCATCTTACAATAGCTCCCCTTCAGGCACGCATCATGTGGCCTTTCTGACAACATCCGATTTTCTCTGCCACTATATCTAAATTCTTTGGAGGACATTGATTTTGTACCCTTCAGCGGGGGCTCAGGAGGGGGCTCAGGAGGGGCTTGGTGTTCTGGCGGGGGAGGCGGGCTTGGCAGTGCTTGGTCCGGGGGAGGCGGGTAGTGCTCGTCTCGGGTGCTCTGTCCGCAGCAGGGAGGCAGGCTTGCTCTGTCCCGCTGCCTGTGACCGTCTGTGCTCTGGCGGGGGGAGGCGGGCTTCCGGCCTGTGCTCTGCGTGCTCGGGCCTGTGACCGCGGGCTCCGCTGCTGTGACCGTCTCGCGTGCTCTGTCCGCTGCCTGTGACCGTCTCGCGCTGCTCTGTCCGCTGTCCGCTGCCTGTGACCGTCTCGCGTGCTCTGTCCGCTGCCTGTGACCGTCTCGCGCGCTCTGTCCGCTGCCTGTGACCGTCTCGCGCGCTCTGTCCGCTGCCTGTGACCGTCTCGCGCGCTCTGTCCGCTGCCTGTGACCGTCTCGCGCGCTCTCCGCTGCCTGTGACCGTCTCGCGCGCTCTGTCCTGCCTGTGACCGTCTCGCGTGCTCTGTGTCCGCTGCCTGTGACCGCTGTCTCGCGTCTCGCTCTGTCCGCTGCCTGTGACCGTCTCGCGTGCTCTGTCCGCTGCCTGTGACCGTCTCGCGTGCGCTCTGTCCGCTGCCTGTGACCGTCTCGCGCGCTCTGTCCGCTGCCTGTGACCGTCTCGCCGCTCTCCGCTGTGTGCTCTGTCCGCTGCCTGTGACCGTCTCGCGTGCTCTGTCCGCTGCCTGTGACCGTCTCGCGTGCTCTGTCCGCTGCCTGTGACCGTCTCGCGTGCTCTGTCCGCTGCCTGTGACCGTCTCGCGTGCTCTGTCCGCTGCCTGTGACCGTCTCGCGTGCTCTGTCCGCTGCCTGTGACCGTCTCGCGTGCTCTGTCCGCTGTCCCTGCCTGTGACCGTCTCGCGTGCTCTGTCCGCTGCCTGTGACCGTCTCGCGTGCTCTGTCCGCTGCCTGTGACCGTCTCGCCTCATTTGAGGCAATTCCCTTTGCCCAATTTCATTCCAGACTCCTTCAGTCCAATATCCTCAAGATATGGAACAGACAAATCCAATCCTTAGACTGCCCAGTGCTTTCTTTCCAGTCAGGTGAAAATCTCCCCGATATGGTGGATTTCCGTTCCTACCCTGGAATCGGGAAAGATGTGGTAATGACAGATGCAAGCTTTACAATATTCACAACTGACCATCAACATTCTGGAGCTGAGAATCCTCATACTGCCTCTACAACACTGGACATCCTTTCTGCAAGGTCACCCAGTCAAAGTACAATCTGACAATGCCACAGCAGCATCCTACATTATCAAGGGGAAACAGAAGCCTATCAGCCCTGAAACAAATAAATCTAATACACTCATGGCCAGAATCTTACAATCCAGCTTTATTGGCAGTTCATATTTCAGGGGTGGACAACTGGCAGGCAGATTATTTACCCAGAGAAGTCGTCTGTACATCCAGAGATCTTTCAAAATCTCTGTCAGAGGTGGGAATATCTAGATGTGGATATTCTGGCAATGCATTTTGGAGCAGTTTTTCCTTTGTCAAGTCAAAGAACTTGAAACTGCTCCAAAACATGTCATAGCAACCAGGATGTCCTCTGATTACCCGGATGAAGATTTTCCAGGCCTGTACACAGCGTGCACACTGCTACACAGCAGCTCTGCTCTTCACAGACATTGTGCATCCAGGACTTGTATTCACTGCTGCCAGCTACTCCACACAGCAACCGCATCCCACAGGGTTTTCACCACCTCCACTGTCCTGCAAGTTCAACCCTTTTTTTTTTTTTTTCTTTATTTCTGCAGTGGAAGTTTAACAATTATTTCCATTATTGCCAAACCACCTAAAGCTGTTTTCTTCCACTAGCGTCTTGATAACCATTACTTCCATTATTGCTAAACCACCTAAAGCTGTCTTCTTCCACTAGTTTTCTTGTTCGATTAGTGTTTTGCATGGTGTAAGGATAAAAGGCTCAATCCTAGGTAACACTGTAACACTTGTTTTCTGATCTCTCTTCAGTCCGGTCTTCACCATCGTCTGGCCCTGAGTACCCTCAAGGGACAGGTTTCTGCCTTCCAGAATCCCCTTGCCTTTAGGACTTCTCTAAAAAGGAATTTCTCATATTCATATTTATGTGAAAGAGTCCAGCAGGGGCTTCAGGGGTTTAATATCCTGGGAGTGTGTGTAAATCTAAAAAGCTGACTGTTGGTTGCCAGATGGAAGTGATTCAATGGTTGTGCTTTCATATACCCTCATATGTTTCGGTCCCATTTTTGTCCCCTATGTGATGGGGGAAAAGTTTTTTGGTAAAAACAAATTTAAATTGTAAAAAAAAAAAAAAAAAAAACTTTTTTGAGCCTTCCCCCTGTTCCCACATGAATGTATAAATGTAAATGCACGCATTGGGAAGGGAGGGGAGCCTGTGCATGAAAACTTAGCGTGTTAGACTTTATATCGCCTTGCACGCCAGAGTGTGACCAATAATTTTAGGCCTGTTATTCTTGGTTAAAGCTGAATTCCAGGAATTCTGCTCCTTTTGTAAAAAGGGAAGGCACACTGAGTTTTGTCCAACAAGGGGTATGACTTATAGTACTCCTGTAAGAAGCTAAAAAGAAAAATCCTCCTGCGCTTATATGGATGTACGTAATTAAAACCTCTATCGCCCAACCTGACCCAATAGGTGAAAAAAAAACAATAAATATTTAAATGGAAAGCGCTAATAATAAACAATAATAAATGACAAATCGACATATAATGATGATAATAATAGTGCTCTAAACCCAAATTGGATCCAATGAAGTGCAAAACTTGTGAAACGCACAGGAATCACCTGTGGCAACACTCAGTGAATACAAATCCCCCCCTTTTCCCTATAACAGGGAATATATTGTGATAAGTAAATAAACCGTGATCCCTTATAATAAAAGAGGGAAAAATTTCAAATTGTGTTTTAGTGCCATTCTTAAATAAATGATGATCCAATATAAAAAATTGTGATTAACCATACATATGGCAAAATAAAAAACTCTCACATAATGTCCAATTAACAGCTCACTCTCCACTCAGGGTCCTGCTCTGGTGTCCTGGACCCGTCACTCAGCATCCCCGCCATCCCTCTCCCGGGATCACTATCCTGCAGTGGTCCGTCACACAGCCCGGATAGTGATTCCGGGAGAGGGACAGCGGGGATGCTGCGGTGATGGGTCCAGGACACCAGAGCAGGGGACCCTGAGTGGAGAGTGAGCTATATTGCATTACCATTACCTGAAAGAAGTAAGTGATACTGCTGAAGGGAGCACATATGACGACCTCTCCTGTGATGAGAAAGTATCCTTAAGGATCGTTGGGGTGATCCTAAAAAGTGAGTTGGCCCTTGTGGTCACGGTTTGGAGGTGAGCGGGCATTTCTGCTGTTTTGAGGATTTGGCACAAAAGTGGAAACCACTAGTTCACTTCATCACCTGCATGATTTGGTTTTTGAAGATCACAAATATGTTAATTGGACATGGTGTGAGTTTTTTTCATTTTGCTATATGTATGGTTAAAAACAAATAAATAAATGATGAACCAAATATAAAAAATTAAGTATGGCAATAAACACAATTTGAATTTTTTTTTTTTGCCCTTTTATTATACGGGATCACGGTTTATTTACTTATCACAATATAGTCCCTGTTATAGGGACAAAGGGGGATTTGTATTCACTGAGTGTTGCCACAGGTGATTCCTGTGCGTTTCACAAGTTTTGCACTTCATTGGATCCAATTTGGGATCAGGGCACTATGTGTTTATTAACATTTATATGTTGATTTGTCATTTATTATTAGCGCTTTACCATTTAAATATTTATAGTACTCCTGTAAGACTGCTATCACTATTTCCGGGAGCCTGACGCTGATCCCACTGATCTCTGTATCTTCAACAGAACAGTTGCTGGCATTGCTGTGCCCACCTCTCTCCTCCTGCCCAATCACAGAAGCCTTTGTATTCTGTAAACTCATAGGGGAAGGGCAGGCAAAGGTGTTCTGTGTGCTTCTCTTTTAGATCCTGGAATGATAGAGCAGTAAACTTGTCAGATGTAAATCGAGATAAGTCCAGGAGATGACACGCACCTTGTCGAACGTAAAGTGGTAGTAAAGTCACTTTGTATATTTTTACCTACAGGTAAGCTTATAATAAAACTTACCTGTAGGTAAAATGAATATCTCCTAAACAGTCACCATTTAGAAGATATTTTATGGAGCAGCAGCCTGTGACAATACTGGCGCATGTGCTCTGAAGTAACGGCGTGCCTGTATCATACCTTCAGAGCTGTGTGCTGTGGCCGGCACTCCCACGCTCATGTGCAGGAGTAATGTCATCAGTGGCTCGGCCATTGAAGCAGCCATAGCCTGCAAACCCAGAAGGAGAACCGGGTGAATATGGAAGCCTTCAGCAGTGACAGCATGCTACTGGACAGCTTTGTTCTAAGAGGTCTTAATGTGTTTGTATGCGATGCATACAGGCACATCATGATATTACCTTGCAGGGAGAAATTTTTTTTTCTATACCACTCTAAAGGCCAAGTTCACCTTTTAAAATAAATAAAATTCACATTATTATTTTGCAGGTAAAAAAATTTGCATTTATAACCTCTACCCGCCCGGCCTATGGCCAAATGGCGGCCGGCAAAAACACTCACCTTTCCGGGTGGACATATGGCATCCTTTCGGGCATTCGCAATTTGCGCGCCTGCAGAGCCGCGCAGCGGCACGATCTGCCACCGGCCCTGTACCTCGGACACTGCTGATGACCGATCTGAGTACCAGCCCCGTTGCCGGTACCATGTGACCTGCTGTGACCAATCACAGCAGGTCACATGACAATTGTATACAATGGATGGCTTCATTCATGCCATCCATTGTATACTAGTGTGTCTAGCTGCGAATGGTCACAGCGATCACATGCACAAGCTGGGCCAATCACAGCCCAGCTGTGTCATGTGATTAGCCTTGGCCAAATCACAGCTAAGCACATAAAAAAAAAAAAAAAAAAAAAACCCTGAATGAATCGATGTCATTCAGGTAAATCCTTGCTTATAGCAAAGTAATTCTTTGCTATAAACAAATTGTGTAAAAAAAAAAAAAAAATAAATAATTACTTACCACAGTAGTACAATGTTACTATGGTAACATTGTACTGCTTTGGTCATAGTGAAATATGAAAAAAAAATCTTAAAGAAAAAATGTAATAATAAATTAAAAATAATAAAAAAAATTAAAATTTTTTTTTTTCATACTGTCACCAGTCAGTGTCCCTGATCACCGCCATGCCAGTTATATGATAACGCTGTACTGCACTGGTGACAAAAAAAAAAAAAATAGTGAAAATAATTTTTTTTAATTTTCCGAAAAATTATGACAAAAAAAATACAACTTCTAAAAACTTGCCATGCCTCTTATGAAGTACATCGGACTGTCTACTCTGCAAAAAGGGGTCATTTGGGGGATATCTGTACTGTTCTGACATTCTTGGACCTCAAGAAATTAGATTGGCTGTCAGTACTTCAGGATTGATCAATATTCAGATATATCCCATGGTTTGTGAACTCTATAACTTTCCTACAAACTAAATAATACATCCTAATTTGGGTTATTTTCACCAAAGACGTAGCAGAATGCATCTTGGCCTAAATTTATGAGGAACAATTATTTGCAAACTTTTATAACATAAACAAAGAAAAACGTGTTGTTTTCAAAATGTTTGGTTTTTTTTTTTTGTTAATTTAGCAAAAAATAAAAACCCCAGTGGTGATTAAATACCACCAAAAGAAAGCTCTAGTTGTGTGAAGAAAATGATAAAATTTTAGTTTGTGTACAATGTTGTATGACCCCGTAATTGTTCAAAGCGTGAGAGTGCTGAAACCTGAAAATTGGCCTGGGCAGGAAGGGGGTAAAAGTGCCCTGTATGGAAGAGGTTAATTATTTTGTGTTTTTCATTAGCCTGTAAAGCATTGTACCCGTGATCAGCAGATAGTGGGTGCAGTGCCAGGCTCCTGCAGAATGACAGTAACGCTGTCTGTGCCCCTACCTCTAATATGGGAAGGCAGATACTGATGTGGCTGTGTGGGCGGAGCCCGGCACAGCCACAGTGTTTTTAGGCCCCATTCACACCTGAGCATTTTGTAGCTCAAAGCTTGGAAACGCTTGGGGACAAAAAAAAAAAATCAATATAACACTATGGAGGTGGTTCACTTTGCCACTCCAAGTCACCTGAAGCAGAACACAATTGGAGCTCAAAAAAGTTTTGGAGCTACTTTTGTAGCTCCGTTCGGGCACATTGATGCGGTTTTTTTTTTTTGGCGCATTTTAATTCCCATAGAAATGCATGGACACACGCAAATCATGCGTTTTATCACACGCCAAAGATAGTTTTTCTGGCATGGCAAAAAACATAGCCACAATTGATAATACAAAAACTTGCTAATACAAAAACGCAAGAGCTCAAAAAGCCCGAAACCGCCTGAACAAATTGGACATAAACATTTGCAAATGCGTGACAAAACGCGCAAAAGTATTCACAAAATTACTACACTCGGGTGTGACTGAAGCCTTAATTGTGTGCAGGGAGGAGGTCCACCGCCCGCTGTCACAAGAAGAGAAAGGTAGATCGGGGAAGGTGGTGGATGCTGAACGTGTTAAATGCTTCATTCGTTTAAATGCTAAATACATGTTCAAAAAGATGGACTAATCCTTTAATTCAGTGTGCCCTCACGTTTTACAGAGTGGCTAAAGTCCTGGAATTCAGCTTTAACTCTCTTAAGTGATGATGAAGTGAGGGGCTTTTAAAGTGTCGCCTATAGAAAATACAGGGTATTGAAGTTTTTTGTTATTTTATGGGCTCAAACCATTTTAAAGGCTTGATTTGTCGCATAGCCATTTACTTGGTGCAACATCTTCCTTTTTTTATTTTTTTTTTATTTGGATAATGTATTGCATTTGTGTGTCCTAAAATTAACCTTTTATCTTTTTTACTGAAAATTTGCGTTTTGTAAACCATTGTGCTAATATCGTAAAAATTAACTACCAATATTTTATTCTCTAGGGTTTCTGCTTTCAGAAACTATGTAATGTTTTGGGGTTATCTATAAACTTCAGACCTAAAATTTTTTTCTTTTTTAGATGTGTGCAAAACATGGAAATGTGAAAAAGGTTAGGGTGCCTTCTTGGTCACCATCAACATGTTGGACATGTTTTTTTTCTTGTGGCCTGTTGGCAGTTCTCAGTTTTTATGTTGCTGCTCACCCCTCGGTTTCATTTCTTGGGTGCGTCCCATGATCAGCGAAATGATAGGAATTTTGACTTGCCTATAATTTCGTTGTCATGCATATGACACCGGTCCCTTCCCTCTGTGCCTTCCTGTGATCGTTCCTTTTTGCTTGCTGAAAAAAAAAAACTGGAACCTCCAAGTGGGCAGGGTTATATAGGTATGTTGTAGGGGTGGCAGTGTCCAGTCACCCACCTTAAGGTTGCAGCTTATAACCCATAGTCTATAAATATCAGTCCTCCAAAATATAGAATGTACAGCTAAGACAAATTCCTTTTTCTTTTTTTTTTTTTCTTCTGTTTTTAGAGCCCACCCAAAGTAGAGACAAGTTCTGATAGCAATAAGGAAAATACTGGTCTGGAGTCTGGTTCAGAGGGATCTTCATTGGAAAATACCCCAGACAAATGTAAGCGGTGTGTGTGAATTTTTTTTTTTTTTTTTCTTTTTGGTCTGAGCCATATTAAATGTAGTACTCATGATGTCTCTTGAATGTTTTGTAGCCAATAACATCTCTGAGTCACTAGCGGAATCTGCAGCTGCTTACACAAAGGCCACAGCAAAACGGTGTTTACTGGAAAAAGTGGAAGTGATCACAGGAGAAGAAGCAGAGAGTAATGTACTACAAGTAAGGGGACAGCAGCGTTCCACACAGCCTTACTACTTTTGTCTTCCTGGATGGATTGGTTGGTGTGCATTAAAGCAGAAATACATTTTGAAGCCACCAAAAGCTCTTACCATATGTGCAGATATGCTCAATCTATTTGCACAGATGGAGAGGGTGTATTTGAAGATAACTGTGCCATAATGTACAAAGGATGTGGTCATCCTTGCCACTGGTCATTCAGTCATTTGGCCAGTGTTTCGAATTCAGAATCTTTGGTTGTCTTAATTGGCCGGGCTAGGATGAAGCAACTCCCACACATAGGAAAAAAAAATTCTAAAAGGTAGAGAGAAGCATTTGACATACAGGGGTTGGTTTGCTAATGGCAATTCTACTGTGCACTGCAAGTGCAGTTGCTCCTGAGCTTAGTAAATTAAGTGAAGCTTCACTTTTGCACAGAATACCCAATCACATGCCTTTAGGAAATCAACCCTACAGAGTTCCTTCTGCCATTAAATAACACAAAAAAAAGCTTAGGACTTCCTAACAAACCACCTAGGTTTTTCTTTTAATGGTCATTTCTTTTGCTGCCTTGATTGTTTCCGCTTACTGAGATCTGATGGAATTATTACATGCTCATAATTAACAAGTGACTGCAGAATTTGACTTGATTTCTTCATGAAAATTAGACCCACATTTTTTCCTAGTTTGTTGAATATATTCTTTTTCCCCATGATTAATGGTGATATAGGAAAACCATAATGTTTTACTTACTGTAGCTTTTCGTCCCTTACACATCTTAGGTAGTATATATACAGGTTGTGGTAGAACCCCATAATCCAAGCACCATACTGGATAAGGGATATGTTTTTTTATTGGTTATTTTGGACCTTAGAGTTTTATTATTTGATGTCTTTTGTAGTTTTGATATTTTCATTGTGAAAGATAGACCTATTTTTTTAGTTTGTTTTGAGGTTTTTTTTTTTTTTTGTTTTTTTTCCCCTTACTTTGTTATGATGGACACACATGATGTGGTTGCAGTTTGTAGTGTAATGGCTTAACGATTTCCCATGAAATCCATGAATTGCAGCTAGCTGGTCCCAGAAACGTCCTGTTCTGAGTTAGTGTCCAGTGCATGCTTCACTATCCCCTCTCATTTGAATCATAAATATAGAGTGCTAATATGATGAAACGCATCTCTTTGATGCATGAGTGAGTGCTGTGTGTCTGTGAATGCTCTGCCTGCTTGTGTCTGTGTCAGATCTAAGTACTGCGTAGCTCTCACTTGCACAAGCACTACACTGAGAGGCTTAGGAATTATGGATAGTCTAGTTTCTTCACATGAAGTGTTATGTCTCTCACTAGAGGTCATGTATTAACCTATGAAGGGCCATTGCAAATACCACAGGTTCAATGCAAACTGCTGACGCAAGAATGTGAAAATTTACTCCTACAATAGGCTGTGTGCATAAAGGGCAACAAACTACATGATCAACGGCTTATACAAATTAAAAACACTGGTTGGAGATTATTATATTATTATTATACAGTATTTATAAAGCGCCAATAGTTCACTCAGTGCTGTACATTACAATGGGGGACAGACCAATAACAATACAATACAATGCAAAACATGAAGGGATCAAGGGCCCTGCTCTTTCGAGCTTACAATCTAGGAGGGAGGGGATGGTGGCACAGGAGGAGAAAGCTGTGGGGGATGGAGTGGTAGGAAGAGTGGAGGAGGTCGGCAAGTTATCAGGGGGTGGGGTAGGCTTCCCTGAAGAGGTGGGTTTTCAGAGTGCACCTAAAGGAGAGGAGAGTAGGTGATAATCTGATGGGTTGGGGCAGAGAGTTCCAGAGGATGGGTGACACCCTGGAGAAGTCCTGGAGGCGGGCATGGGAGGAGTAGACCAGGGAACTAGAGAGAAGGAGGTCTTGTGTGGAGCGGAGTGTTCGGTGGTACTTGGATATTAGGTCGGTGATGTAGTTCGGGGCAGTATGGTGGACAGCTTTGTACGTCAGTGTTAGGATTTTGAATTTGATCCATTGCGCAATCAGAAGCCAGTGGAGGGATTGGCAGAGGGGGGGTGGCGTAAACGGAGCGGTTGGAAAGGTGAATGAGTCTGGCAGCCGTATTCAGGGTCGACTGAAGCGGGGATAGCCAGCGGCGAGGCAGGCCAGTAAGGAGGGAGTTGCAGTAATCGAGTCGTGATATGATGAGGGAGTGGATGAGCTGTTTAGTGGTTTATGGGGTTAGAAACGTGCGGATTTTGGTGATGTTGCGGAGGTGGAGTCTGCATGAGTTTGTTAAAGATTGGACTTGGGGCTGGAAGGATAGGTTGGAGTCCAGAATGACATTAAGTACTCTGGCCTGCGGGGTGGGTTTGATGGTGGCGTTGTTAGACATGATGGAGAAGTCAATGGGGGGTGGTGTGCGGGCTGGGGGGAAGACGAGAAACTCGGTTTTGGAGAGGTTCAGTTTAAGGAAGTGGAGCGACATCCAGTCTGATATGTCGTTCAGTAGGTGTGTGATTCAGGCGGAGACTGAGGGGGTGAGGTGGGGGGTTGAGAGATAGATTTGTGTGTCGTCGGCATATAGGTGGTAGTTGAAGCCGTGAGAGTGTATGAGTTGGCCAAGGGAGGAGGTGTAGATGGAGAAGAGAAAGGGCCCGAGGACGGAGCCTTGAGGGACCCCAACAGAGAGGGGGAGTGAGGGGGAGGTGGTAGCATTATAGGTAACGCTGAAAGAGTGTTGTGACAGGAGAGAGTGTTGTGACAGGAGAGAGCAGAATCTCTGAGGCCGAGGGAGTGTAGTTTTTTGAGGAGGAGGGGGTGGTCGACTGTGTTGAAGGCTGCGGAGAGGTCAAGGAGTAGGAGCACTGAATAGTGGCCATTAGCTTTGGCGGTTAGCAGGTCGTTGGAGAGTTTGAGTAAGGCAGTTTCGGTGGAGTGTAGGGGACGGAAGCTGGACTGTAGGGGATCGAGGAGGTTGTTGTCGTTGAGGTGAGAGCTTAGGCGGGTGTAGACTAGGCGCTCGAGGAGTTTGGATGTGAATGGGAGCAGGGAGATGGGTCTGAGGTTGTTCGGGTCATTGGGGTCCAGGGAGGGCATTTTAAGTATGGGGGTGATGTGTGCATGCTTCAGAGGGGAGGGAAAAGTGCTGGAGGAGAGGGAGAGATTAAAGATGTGGGTGAGGGAGCATAGGATGGAGATGGAAGGAGGTTGTAGGAGTTGTGAGGGGGCAGGTGGTGAGGCAGGCATCAGAGAGGACCTTGGAGACTTCCTCGATGGTAGTAAGGTCAAAGGTGCGGAGTGTTGAGGTGGCTTCAATATGAGGATTGGGGGGTGGGGTGGAAGTGGAGGTCAGAGCAGTGGTGGGGCCTGGGAGAGGGGTGATGAGGGGGTAGCTGAGTGAGGGGGAACGGGGTTGAAGGGAGTTTGAGCAGTGACGAAGTCCCTGCAGGTTATGTTGAGGGAGAGGGGGGATGAGGGGGTAGCTATGTGAGAGGGGACCGGTTGAGAGGGAGTGTGAGTTGCAGCGATGTCCTTGCGAATTGTGGCAATCTTGTTTTTGAAGTGATTGGCAATCTCAAGGGCGGTGAGTGAGGTGCTGGGTGGAGGTGGGGGTGGAGAGAGTAGAGAATTGAAGGTGGAGAAGAGTCGGCGAGGATTGGAGGAGAGGACCTTGATGAGGGTCAGGAAGTAGGCTTGTTTGGCTGCGTGGAGGGAGGAGGTGTAGGTGTGGAAGGCAGATTTGTAGCGGGTGAAGGCTTGTTGGGATTTGGTTTTGCGCCATAGTCGCTCCAGGGAACGTCTGTGTCGTTTGAGGGATTTGGTGTGATCTGTATGCCAGGCCTGGAGCAGTCGGGGTCTGATGTTGCGTGTGGTTAAAGGCGCTAGTGAGTCCAGGGCTGTTGACATTGAGTTGTTATAGGCAGTCATAGCCAAGTCAGGGCAGGACAGGGGAAGGATGCGGTCATAGAGTTGATCAGCTGCAGAGTGGAGGGGGGCAGGGTTAAGGTTGCCGAGGTTACGGCTGGTAGTAGTGTGACATTTGGAGGGGTAGGCGTTGGAGGACGAGGAGATAGAGAAGGTAATCAGGTTGTGGTCAGAGAGAGGGAAGGGGGTGTTAGTGAGGTTGTGGGGAGCTCAGCGGTTGGAGAAGAAGAGATCAAGGATATTACCGTCAGAGTGGGTGGTGGATTGTATGCACTGTGCAAGTGCAAAGGAGGAGGTTAAGTGGAGGAGATGGGATGTGGCCGGGTTTTCGAGGTTGACAGGAATGTTGAAATCCCCAAGGATGATGGTGGGTAGCTCAGAGGAGAGGAAGAAGGGTAGCCAGGAGGAAACGTCATCCAGGAAGCGGGATATGGATACAGAAGGCTGGTATATCACAGCAATCTTCAGGGGGGTTGGGGAGAATAGTCTGACGCAGTGGGCCTCGAAGGAGGAGAAGGATAGAGAGGGAGGGGGGGGTTTGGGAGGACTCGGAAGGTGCTCTGTGGTGACAGGAGCAGACCAAGCCCACCACCTTTACGACCGTTGGGTCTGGGTGAGTGGGTCCAGGTGAGACCTCCATAGTCAGTGGCCTGGATCCAGGTTTCCTTGATCTCTAGGAGGTTGAGGGAGTGGGAAACAAAGAGGTCGTGGATGACGGTAAGCTTGTTGCACACCGATCGGGTGTTCAGGAGTGCACATGAAAACGGGGGGGTGATTTTAGGGAGCAGGGGGACATACTAAGTTGCGGGGGTTGCGGCAGGACGTGGAGGCGGGAGGGTGTTGTGTGGGTGAGGGAGGTGGTGGAGGGCCAGGATTCGGGGAGATGTCCCCTGCGGTTAGGAGGAGGAGAAGGGTGAGAAAGGTGGCATGGGAGCGGGATGTGCAGGAGAGTGTGAAACTACTAGTGGGATGTCTGCCATTATTGTGACTTCCCAAGAGGGAATTCCCTTTTAACCAGTTTAGTTCTTTGGACATACTATGCATGTCCAAAGAGTGAAGGGTTAATCACAAGCAGTAGCAGCCATTTGCCTATGCCCCTTTTTGTTGGCTTCAAAGTGAAAGTGATGTGGCGGCTGTATAGCTGGCAATCATTTTCAGTAGTGGGGTGGTGACTCCCTCAAAGCCACCCCCCCCCCCCCCCCCCCCCCCAATAATGTTTTTATTATACAGGGCCTTTGCTTTCAGAAAATATGTAATACTGTGTCACGTTTAAACATACTGTATATCCTCTTTTCTAAAAGGGAGTTTTTCTGTAAGCAGGCAGCATTGAATTGGATCTTTCTATGTGCACAGTTGGATTATGGGAATTTATGATCTGGTAATGTTTGTGTTCGTTAAACGATTTTGTTTATCTTTCTTTTTATGTATGTTTGTGGCAACAGATCCAGTGCAAACTGTTTGTGTTTGATAAAGTGTCTCAGTCTTGGGTAGAGAGGGGACGAGGTCTTCTCCGACTGAATGATATGGCTTCCACCGAAGATGGCACATTGCAGTCTAGATTGGGTGAGTTATATGGTTGTATTTTTTTATTATAGAGAGAGTGTGTGTGTGTGTGTGTGTGTACACTATATATTGCCAAAAACGTTAATGCATCCCAGTCTTAGTCCGTAGGGTTCAATATTGAGTTGGCCCACCCTTTGCAGCTTTAACTCTTCTGGGGAGGCTGTGCTCACGGTTTAGGAGTGTGTCTGTGGGGATGTTTGACCATTCTTCCAGAAGTGCATTTGTGAGGTCAGGCACTGATGTCGGACAGGAAGGCCTGGTTCACAGTCTCCACTCTAATTCATCCCAAAGGTGTTCTATTGGGTTGAGGTCCGGACTCTGTGCAGGCTAGTCAAGTTGCTATACCTCAGACTCGCTCATCCATGTCTTTATAGACCTTGCTTTGTACACTGGAGCGCAGTCATGTTGAATCTGGAAGGGGCCATCCCTAAACTGTTCCCACAAAGTTGGGAGCATGAAATTGTGCAAAATGCCTTGGTATGCTGACGCCTTAAGAGTTCCCTTCACTGGAACTAAGGGGCGAAGCCCAACCCCTGAAAGACAACCCCACACCATAATCTCCCCTCCACCAAACTTTACACTTGGCACAATGCATTCAGTCAAGTACCGTTCTGGCAACGACCAAACCCAGACAAGTCCATTGGATTGGGATGCACACACCCCCTACCCGGAAATCCAGACTCAAGTATATATACACGATTTTGCGCACCCCTGCCGCTCTGTAGCAGTATTTCTCCTATAGGGTGGCAGGAAAGCAGTTAAAGTATAAACTTATTATAGATACATTTTACATGTTTGAAACCCATTTCCATTATGTAGTGAGGTAGTCATTTTGTCTACTGCATTATTTATGATGGTAAATTTTGGTCATAAGGCTTGAATGCTAGTGGTATTTAATAGCTGCATTCTCTGAAACACTGATTTCATGGCTTGAAATTTAAACCTTTGTGTGGTCACAGTTGAGGAGACCTATTCTGATTGTGTAGAACTTTGAAAGGCAGCATGTATTTAATAATTTTCTACATGTGACTTTTTCTGTCCAGTGATGCGCACTCAAGGCAGTCTACGATTAATTCTCAACACTAAGCTCTGGGCCCAGATGCAGATAGACAAAGCAAGCGAGAAGAGCATAAGGATTACTGCAATGGATACAGAAGACCAGGGTGTAAAAGTCTTTCTAATATCTGTGAGTTGTTAACTGATTTTCATATTTTGTAGAATTATCTCCTACTTTAGCTAACAGCCTGTTTCTTTTCTCATTAAAGGCAAGCTCTAAAGACACAGGTCAGCTTTTTGCTGCTATTCACCATCGCATCCTTGCTCTAAGAAGTCATGTAGAGCAGGAGGCAGAGACCAAGTGCCCTGAACCAGTCAGGGAGGGGGCCCAGTGCAATGAGGAAGACAGTGATGATGATGTCCTTACGCCTGCTGTCACAACCACAGTTGGTAAATATACTTGCACTGGAGTAGACATAGCAGTTTATAGTGTTCAATAAACTATGGTGTAAACTGATACTTTGTGTTGGCTAGTTCCGATTTACGCATTTAAAAATTTCTGAAACACGCCATTCATTTAGGGCTTGTTCACACTTGACTAAATTTCTAACTCTTCTCAAACGCTCCTATAGCTTTAGTATGGGCATTGGACTTAGTCTTTACGAGTGTAAAAAAAAAAATCTCTCCAAGCTCCCTATGTGCAGTCTTGAAGCGTTTTATAAGCGTTTGACAAGCGTTAAAACCACACCACAAACTAAACAAACTGTAATGTTATTAACGCTCTACAACCGCACCGCAAATGACCCGCAAAAGTCTGCCAGTGTGTTTGAAGCATTTCAACGCCTCCCATTCAAGTCTGTGGCGATGATCTTCAAACGCCTCCTGACTCAACACGAGGCTTCAGTTTTTGAAGCGCCACAAACACTAACGCTTCATGTTTGGTAAGGTGAACAGCATTGTGTGCTACCCATAGCATCATTTGCATAGGCATTTGAGGAGTGTTAACTCCTTGCCCTCCAGAGGGTTTACCCACAGTGCTGTTCACCTTACCAAACATGAAGCTTTAGCGTTGCGGCGCTTAAAAATTGAAGCCTCATGTTGAATTAGGAGTTTGAAGCCTTTCAACGCCTCCCATTCAAGTTTATGGTGATGTTCTTCAAACACACTGGCAGGCGTTTTGTAGGGCATTTGCGGTGTGCTTGTGGAACCAGGCCAGATTTTTGCATTACGGCGCTGCGTTACTTTAACTCACAATTGCGCGGTCATGCAATGCTGCACCCAAATGAAATTGACTTCCTTCTTTTTTTTTTTACCACAAATAGAGCTTTTTTTCGGTGGTATTTGATCGCCTGTGCGGTTTTTTTTTTTTTTTTTTTTTTTTTTTGTTTTTTTGCGCTATAAAAAAAAGGCCGACAATTTTGAGAAAAAAACTATTTTTGACTTTTTGCTATTAGAAATGTCCAGTGAAAATTTTTTAAAAAAAATCAAATTTCATCATAAATTTTAGTCCAAAATGTATTCTGCTACATGTCTTTGCTAAAAAAAAAAAAAAAAAAATCCCAATAAGTTTAAATTAATTGGTTTATGTGAACGTTATAATGTTTACAAGTGGCGATGTATATATACTAGAATTTTTATTTTTACTAGTAATGGCGGCGATCAGCGACTTATAGCGGACTGTGGCAGACATTCTGACACTGGGGGGAACTGACTTGGTGTCACTGACATCCCCAGTGACACCAATACAGTGATCAGTGCTAATAAAAAGCACTGACACTGTACTAATGGCACTGGGCAGGAAAGGGTTTTAAACATCTGGGGCCATCAATGGGTTAACTGTGTGCCGTTTAACTATGTGGCTGTGTTTGTGCTTCACTGTAAGCACACACACTGCTTTGCATGGCTGTGCTATGCATAGCCATGCAAAGCAGAGTGCAGGAGCTGACGGGGAGAGAACTGTTTTTTGTTTACAATCAGTTCCCCCCCACCATTGGAGATAACTCGGCAATCACCAGGCGTCAGCAAGTAATCACAGTCCGGAACCCAATGATTGACAGCTGAGGCCGCACATGGTGGCATGGGTAGGAAGAGCACGCCCCCTACCCGTAAGTGCAAATTCACGTATATATATACGCAATTTTGCACACCCGTGCAGCCGTGTAGCGGTACTTCTGCTATAGGGCTGATGGGAAGCTGTTAAAAACGCCCTTCAAATGCCTGCTTTCAATGCCAATGTGAACTAGGCCTTAAGCTCCTTGGATCTGCACACAGGTTTAGAAACTTTTATGGGATATCAATTTGGTCTTTAGGCCAGTTGTTCCAGTAATGCTGTTAAACCTTAATATCAATTACAGGCTGAATTCCTTTCAACTCAAAGCTTCTTTTGTTGATACCTACAGTTTTGGCAAGTCACAAACATCCCCTTTGCTCACAGTCAAATTGTAGTATCGGATGTCCTTTCTTTTAGGAAGGACCTGAGTAAAGGTTCATTGGGAACCCATATGATTCCCTCTTGTGGTATCCAGCATTGACAAATTTGGAACCCTCAGATATGTGGAGGGCTAGCATTTATACATTGATGTAGAGTATCTGGAAATTCCAAAAACCATTTTAAGATTCTTTGAGGTTTAAGTGTGTGTACATTTTACACCAAGACTATTATAAATCACAAGTATTAGCCGCATTCCACCCCTCCCCTCCTGTGACAGGCTCTCATGTTACATGTGCTTGTTTACGCTTTAGGTAAAAATAAAGGCTACAAAATAGTTTTTCGTTTCATATAGTGCAGAAAGGGATTAGAACACTTATTCGATTATTTTCGGAACACAGGTAGCAATAAAAACCGACGGAATATAACCCTCCCTTACGCTATCCAAAATTTAAAAAAAAAAGAAAAGTTTTGCCTACTTTAAATCTAAACCAATTGACTTGAAATTCAGCAGGAAGTGAAAGGCAATCTTTTCAAACCTAATATTCTTTTAGTAAGTTGTAACAATGTACCCATTGGAAGGTTTTAGCTCTATTCTGGTGACAATTTTAGTCTCATTTACAATGGTCACCAGGACATATCTGAAGGGTGAATCCCCACAAAGCAGACACAACAGCAGTAAAACCATGCCTGAGGTTCTTGCCCTACTCTACTGTATCCAAAACTAAAAAAAAAAGAACAGCTTGGGCTTTAATTATGCTTGAACGTGGCCCTTCCCCGTAAATTGATACCATCTGAGATACATGCTGCCCATGTATGCTGGATCCCAAATCTTCTTGTTATAACTGACCTCAAACCTTGCTGTTTCTAGATGTACCCAGACTCTAATATATGGGTTATGCCTTGGAAAGCTCTCTCATGAGATGACAAATTGCAAATACCCTATGTGTTGTACTTTTGGTTTGAGCTTGTAAAAACTGTATACTCCCATAATGGTTGCAGTGCTAAAATGTAATAACATAACACATTTGTGATCCTCCAAAAATTTGATTCCTCTCCGGTTCCTTTTAGGCTCCATTCACACTTTTGTGTGAATTTAAAATTGTGCAATTTTCATTGTGACGTTACAGTGCAACTTTGGCTTTAACCAAGGATGATTTCTTGTCCCATTCTAAGTCACACACAAGTTGCATGTATATCATTCAGGTGTGACTTTGGTGCGTTTAATTTTGAAGTCTATGGCCCTCAAGTTGCATGAAAGTCGGACCAAAGTAGTTCAGGAACTACTTTCAAGTCGCTCAGATATGAATGGTACTCAATTCGGAAACATGGGATGCGACTTTGGACCCCAAAGTCGCATGACAAGTCATAAAAGTGTAAATAGAGCCGTGCTGCATTAGGATTTCACAGCTTTTTTGCCGAGGCTTGGGACACTGTAGCAGAAATAAGCAAGTTGCTGAATTTTCTTTTTTCTTTTCACTTTGCATTATGCATGTTCAGTAACAATATTAACCTACTTTGGATATTGTGCCACACTCTTTAACTAGTTTGTTTGTTTTTTTTTTCTCCCCCTCAGCGCCTAGTGATGAAGGAGACAAGCCACCTACATCCAGTACATAGCACCTGCTTACCTTGTCACCATATGATGGTTGTCCTCACCTGGCAGGGTGACAATCCACAACTTCCTCTTTCTTTAATGCCTCATGGAGTATTTTAAGACCAGCTCCTAATTTAAGGCTGGACTGAGGACACAGACTTTTCATCCACCCCAGGAACTGTACTTTTTGTTCACTTTAAGTAAGCCAGATAATACGTTCAGTCCCTAATTATTTTTTTTAATAGTTTTGAAGGGGATCAGGGTGGTATCCAAACTAAACATGTAGAATGCTTGCCTGGATGCTGACAATGAATCAACTCATCATATTGATGAGCTGGAAGAAATCCTCTTCTCTCCTTTCTTGTTAACAGCTGTGCAATCTGAATTGCCTTTCCGAAATTTAACTTTCTTTTATACGTGCAAATTTTAGGGTTTTTTTTTTCCCCACCTCTCTCCCATCCAACTTACTCAGTGTACAAATTGCTTTCTTCAGTAGTTGGTTTTTACATTTGGATTCCAGTCTTGTGCAGGAACAAATTGGTTACTTAACACGTAGAGGGACTCCTTGCTTGGATCTCATCACCTCTGCATACCCTCAAGCAGCTGCCTTTGGACTGGAATACTATCAACGAAGCCGGACTTTTACAATGCTCTTAAACTAAGAGCTTCTTCCTATTAAAGACTTAATAGTCAAATTGAATATTCCCACATCTTGTTTTCATTCTTCCCTCCTTCCTTTGGTAATTTTTTCTGTTGTGTTTATTTTATTTTTTTTTTAGTTTAACATTAATATGCTTTTTTGTGTGCGAAAAAGTGAAATGTTATTTTTTTGTATCCATATTTAAGGGAAAGAGTTAAGGAATACTGTATCCTAAACTTTGTATTCTTTGAGTTTTATTTTTTTGTCTGGTGATTGTGTTATCAGTTGAATAGTGAGAAACCTCACTAAGTGACAAGAGGGTTGTGCCTAGTTAATCTCACTCTGATTTAAAGAGATCTAAAACCAAAAAGTGTTATATACAGCTAATGTGCATTTGCAGTGTTTATTCATTAACCTGTTATTTTGGAAGCTGCATCGCAGCATGTACACATGTTGTGAAGTTGCAGAACCATCTCAGGAACAAGTTATAGTAGCAGGTATATTTTGGACCAGTTGAAGTCTTGCCTTTCCTTATTTATAGTCAAGTACTCACAGCATTTTTACTGATACAGAAAATTTTTTTTTAAATGGTCACAAAAACAAGTACTTGCCCTCACACTCCAGTTATGCCAAATAACAACCAAAACTCTTAACACCAGTATCCTCACACAGATTAAGATTTGAACAGTGAACTTTAAGTGGTCTATATCCAGCTCTGATAATTATATTCAGACACCCTGCAAATAAGCTGTAACTGAGAAGTTGAGTTAAGGCTGAAAATGAAATGTAGGAAACAGAACCATGGACCAAATGGGCTAGATATTCATAGACCCTGGGTTATAGGCTGTTACCCTCAGGTGATTGGACACCCTGTGAGACTAGTTTTTTTGCTAGTGTCTTAGCTCAGCTAGTACTTATTTACTTGGAATTGTTTGTTTAATCAACTCTTCTGTCAACCTCTTCATCGCCTACTACAGCACCAATGAAAGCATCTGGCTTGAGGCAACCTCAAGATTGGTAACCAGACTCCACATTGGGGATGGTGTGTAATGTTGCTTTGGGCACTGGATCCTGCTTGGGAGCTCATCTTAACAGTGCTTATAGTTTAGCAACAGGGTGCTATACAGATCCAGGGCTGTGGTCCATTCATATGGTTCTCAATCCCTGAAGAATCCCCCGGGAATATGCCAACTGTGACCAGTGAAACCTGTACCCATACAGGGGCTGGTGACATAGAAATGTAAAACAGGTTTGTCCTGTTATCAGACTGATAATGTAGCCCTTTAACAAGTATGAGATTTAGTATACTCCACTTCTTGCAGTACAATTATTAGTGTTTCTTGATAGGTTTAAATGTAAAATGGAATCAATCAGGGAACTGGAAGTTGTGTTTGACTTTATTCACTTACTGAGTGTTTAAACTTTTAAACTTGGCAGTAAGATTTTCCACTTTCAGAGCTTCAGGTGGATGACCAGGTTTTACATCACTCCACAGGTAGCATTATTCTATCCAGCTTTTGCCGAAAAGCTTTATAAGGTACTCGGGCACTTTCTGCTGCCCTTTTACCACAATGACTTTGCTATAGGATGGTCCGCTTCTGGGTTTGTGCATATCTTTCTCTGGACACATTTTCTCCATTTACACACCTTAATTCATGATCCAAGGGGATTTCTCTGACAACTAACAGCCTTAATACTGTTCAGAGCCCAAAAGCACCAGGCTTTGTCTACACTTCCGCCTTTTCTACTTGTGTCGGATGTGGAACTACCTCCTTTGGGAGAGGTAGACATGAAAAACTTTGAAAATGACCCAGAGGCTTGGTAGAGGAGACTGTTTAAGATTTCTCAACCTCCCATATACCTGATGCTGTGGCATCGCACAATATGTTTGGCAATGTAGATCTGTTTGTTTCTGCTATCCACAAAAGCCTCAGTATGGTCACACTTTATTTTCTTGCCAGGCTCCTCCTGGATACTAGGGGAGCTGCAAGTCTAAAATGATATTCTGCATCCATGAACAAATAGAATGGCCAATGTATTACTATTGGGTTTCCCCTGAAAAGGTTTTCACCTCTCCGAGAGTTAATGCTGAGCTTTATCTGGTGAAAAAAAGAGTTCACTACAAAATGCACTGTTCCGATAGTAGACCCTGCTGTCTCAGTGTTAAAATTAACATCTTCTGTAGGCGCAGTAAGATGTTTAAGAATTCTGCAGATAAAATTTGAGATGCTTTTAAAGGTCCTCTTCACTTTTGTGGATCCAGCCCTGCAACCAGCTATTGCTGCAATTTGTGTTTGTCAAACTGCAGCTAATTGGACTAGGGCAATGAACAATTGACAGGGTCCTGTCTTTCAGGACTGAACTCTAGCCAGAACACTTACAAACACTGTTTTTTCACCTTACTGTTTTGTGGTCATAACACATTTCCAGAATGGCTATTATTTTTGCCCATGTGCGCAGAATCCTATGGCTGAAAGATTGGAAAATGAGATGTCATAAGACATCCACAGGCTTAATCTTCAGGACCAGTTCACAGCAGAACATGGTTCAGGAAACCCACATTCCGTGCGAGTTTCCCTCATCACGTTCAGAATGCACTGTAGTTGCGTTCTGCAGCAGGGGTCAGTGTTAACTAAATGCAGGTCCCAAGCGCAGTGCGTTTTTATTTGCACTTTATCCCATGGTATTTGCCCTCAAAGCTGAAAGTCAGCCCTTCTTGGCACATGACTTGAAACATGAAGCCCACTAAGTCTGACCCAAAGCCTTCTCCACAGTGACATGGTGCCCTTACTCCTAAAAATGAGGGAATATACGTTACAGTTTGCATTCTGCTGTCCTCCAGGTTCAACAGCAAATTACCTCTGTTTTATGGCCAGGACCCAATAATCCTCTAGCACTGACATTTAATGCTCTGATAATCGCATGCATTTAAGGCTAATATATGCCGATCCTCCAGTGCAGATCTTTCCTTGATTGCTCCGCACGATAAAGAGAACATATTGACATGACAGACATACCGAAACTTCTAGGCGATGACCCCTGGCCAAAACAAGCCAGCCCTGCCTTCCCAAGGCCCCTCTGTACCATCTTGTACTGACCTTTGCAGAGATATCAGGTTCACTAGTTTGATCTTATTTTGTCTTTGTCCTTTCCTTATAATTTTTCACTCAAACCTCACTGTTTTCCAGTGCCTGCACAGAAGCAGTGTATCTGAATTGGTGCAACCTCTGTAAAACCTTGAGCCATACCAAGACCACACATTATGGGGACAGCATGTAATGTTGCTTTAGGCACTGCATCCTGCATGGAGCTCTAACCTTTGCACTTGGTGCAACACATTGAGTTAGCCTCAGGGTGCTATACAGGTCCTGGGCTGTGTTCCATCACTATGGAACTCTGCAACTAAAGACCCTTTTGGAGATATGTGTATGGTGATGGGCAAAGCTTGGACTTTCTGCAATCCGGTGTCATGGACAGGTCATACAGTGTTACCCTGTATCTCTGACTGTTACAGTAAAATTGGGGGTCAATTTAAAATATATTTCCTTCACAGTGCTAACTTTTCAAACTTGGTGCTAAAATTCAACCACTCAGCACTCCTCAGGTGGGTGCCCAGAGGTTACATCACACCTTTGGTCGCACATTTTAACACCACTTTCATTTAGAGCCCTTATAGGCTACTCAGGTGATCCCTTCTGCACTTTTTCTAAGAGGGATTCGTTGCAGGACAGTCTACACCTGGGTTATCATATACTCCTCCTGGACACACTTACCCTATCTTTCATACTCTACTTCATGAGTACCTGTCAGAGGATTGCCCTAACTTATAGCTATGGCAGAGACCAGGTGAAAGCCTGCACAACACGCAACCTCAGACTGACTGTTTCTTACACTGGCGTGGGGCCTTTTATTTATTTATTTTTTGCTAACACTGGTCTCCGCATCCAAGTTCTATTTCAGGCACACAACATGCAGCCTACTTGACAAAAGCAGAATTTTCCACATCTGTCACAGTTCCTTGGACAGATTATGGCCTTAATACAGCCATCTTTGTCCAGGGCTCAGAAACGCCCCACCTCTTTTACTCCCATTTCTCAACGCGAGTATATGCTGATATGCCAAATCTAGAGAATGCAGAACATGTTGATAATGCTGTGGAAGATTTCTTTGCCCCATATTGTCACTATATTGAAGAGGAAGCTTCATGCAACATGCTTCCTAATGTTGATATGCTCCTTGCCTCTGCCCGAAAAGGCTTTGGCATTGTGCAAATTGACTCTGCTGTCTTTCCATGCTCCTTTGGGCACATAGACCTACAAAAAACCTAGAAAACACTCTCTGTTCATAAGCAGTAATAGGAATGAGTCACTCTTGAAATAATTC